GAGGGTAAGTTAAGAGGAACTTGGTTGAAAATATACATGAAACGCTCGTAAAAAATTATTCATCATTAGAATAGAATGTGAAATCTAAAGGAAGTGTCAAAAGTTACAATGTAGATAGGTAGTAGCTACCTCTGGATTAGAAAACATCATAACTAATCTGTGGGTAGGGTAGTAATATGAAATTATGATTTAAAAATTTGTGAAAAGGAAAATATTACAAATTAGTAAATTAACACAGTAAATGTATGGTAGTATTAATATAGTAGTATAAAATAGTAAATGTAGTACAAATTAAAATAAAATGTTGTGAACAATATTTCTCTCAAAATGGCAAATATATACAATTAATTATCTCCTTGAGAAAAAAGTTTCAATTTTTAAGGTGTGTGCCCTACTTTAAACACATGTTAATTGTTCAAAAATGATTCAAGTAAATGTGCACTTTATAATTTCCATTTTTTACACCAAAATCTTCCAATACAATTATTCACATTAGCGAATTTTTAAATAATTAATTAGGGTTAGATACAGCAACAGATTTACAATCTCACTTATTTCATAAAATCAATAATCAATGAACCATCAAGAATAAATAAACATGTCACATGATTGTAGAGAATATTATGTTATGCCTATTTATAAACCAGCTGTGGAATTGGGAATTAATGTGGTTTGACAATTCAGCTTGTTTACATTTGGGTGGCATAGCAAATTGCAAATATTGTATGTGTTCTCATGGCAGCCATGGAGACCAATCAATATATACTTTTAAAATCCTCACCTCAGAACTTTTAAAGCCAAAGGGGCAAAGCCCACGGTCAGTATCGAAGTGTAAATAGTCCTATAAAGGTCCTTGGTATGGTAGCTAGATTTTTGTATAATTTAAGCCCAGTCAGTTCAGTAGTTTATGCGCCTATTAGTAACAAACAGACAGAAACCACTATATATTTATATAATAGTATATATTTAAAATATGTACTTATAATTGTAGTATTATGAATATTGCATATAAAGTGGATGATTTTCTCGCAGTTTTCTTACAATACATTATTCCTAATCATAAAGTTTGCTAAGAAACTGTCTGTTATAACGTCTTTCAAAGTTTACGATGGGTGCTAAATAATATTCATTCAATCATATCAGTAGCTTTTGGATGAAAATAAACATGGCCCAGCTGTATTTTATCATTGGGCTTTTAAACACAGCTATATAAATAATTTCATTCCATTATCACTCACCATGCATTCATGTTCAGCTTTTAAATACCAACTGTTGTCTCAAAATTAAAGACAATGACGACAAAATACTTCTCATTTTTACAAGTTAAGAAAACATTCAGCCGATTCAAGAGGAAGTAAATGTTCTAGAATGTTCGTCGGTTCCCGTTTCCTCAGTTCCTGACCATTCCTTCCCCGGTTTGGTTCCACCATTCCACCGGTTTCGTTCAGTTCCGGTTTCCACGCAACTGAATTGCCAAACGATTATCTTTCACAGCACTTGATTAGTGTCTTTAACCTCTATACAACTAAAATCTCTTAGCAACGTCTGATGTGGCTTAAAAATGTCTTTATATTTTTGGGGAAGTAAAATTTGATGATTGTGTAGCTCTTGGTACAATAAGTTCTCTGATTAATAGAAATTGAATTTTGTCTAGGAAACATATAATTTTTATAATAGATAGGTTGACAATCACCTTGAGGAAGGCTACAAATTTCTAGTATATGGTATTGTATTGTTTTAAAGACATTGGTCTTTTGTGGTTATAAACTAGGGCAGTTGTTTAGTGCTGTAACAAAAAGACCAGTCGAGCTTTACTTTTGTAGCAAGGTCGCAAACAAGTAATACTTTTCTGTAAAGTTTCCTTAAATAAAAATTTTAATTTTTACAATTGTATTTTATTGACTAGAACTAGAATTTTGTATGGACCCTACACTTTCACGTTTCAAACTGATAAAATGTGTTTAAATAAATGTTCAATTCAAATTGAAGTATCTCTTTAAAGACGGATACTTAATTTGTCTTCAGTAATTCAAGTTTTTTATAAAAATAATTTAGGCAACAATATAACGAAAATATTATGAAAAGTAATACAATTTTCTAAATTAATCCAATAGAAAATTCACGTAAATATAGCTCTGACAGTAACGTTTTAAAAACCAAATATAATGTTTGGCTACTTTTTCGCATTTTAAGGAGCAGCAACAACGTTCTGTGTTGGTTTTAAAATTTAAAAACTAATAAAAATTACACTTGCTCAACGCTTAGGTTTGAACGTTAAAATTGCTACTGTATTGCTTTGTTTTAGAGCATGTCAGATTGTGTCATCTGTAAAACAATAACTATAAAAAGTTTATGAAGCCTTTATAAACAAATCTTAAAAGATATATTTTGCTAAAACAAGTAGATTAAATGATTACCCCATAGTTCCATTTTCCTACCATCTTCCTACATGGAGACTTTAAACCAAGATTCATAGCTGCTAGTGCACCTGTTGATCTAATCCGAGCAATTGCAAAGTATTACAGGCGTTATTTCAAAACTAATAACAGTCACAATTTCCGATGACCTAAAAGAGTCAACTCAAAGATAATGTAATCAATCACTCCAGACTCCAGTTATCGAAACTGGAAACGAACTCACTCTGAAAACGAACGCTCACTCCACTCCAGTTATCGAAACTGAAATGACAACGAACTCGCTCTGAAAACGAAAGCTCTTGTGTATATCATGTGTTTACTATGAACAGCTGTTTTAGAATGCAATTAAAACAATTTATTCGTCTGTTTAAGTAAACAAAATCTTTTCTTCATAAGAAATACATTGTGATTTTGATGGCCTGTGGGGCAAAGCCCGAGGACTTTTACTATAGGAATTGGTGAAAGGGGGAATCTACGCAAAAAATACTTAATTTTGACACATCGTTTGTAAAAATCCGTTCATTATTAACGGAGGAGTAGTGTTTCGTAGAAATTGCCTTCGCGTATTATATGTAAGGATATCTCCAAAACGGCTCTCTGTGTTATTTGTTTGCCAATTTAAAATAGTTTCTTCAACATCACAGATTGATGCATATTTTACAAACAATTTGTATTTCTGTAGTTATTATCCGTAAAATTATAATTTGTTAAATTACAACACGATTGTTTAAAGAATTTCAAATAAGTTAAGCCTTCTGAAAATAATATTTTGTGTAATAGTAACATGAAATTGACATTGCTAATTTGTTTTCAGTACATTTTTATAAACTTATTACGTCTTTTATAACTTAACTAGAAAAATACAATTAATCTAAATGTTGTTTATAACTTAACTTAACTAAACCTAACCTTAACCATGTTTACTATGTCAAATTGTTATAATGGTTGAAACAATGACATTAAGTTTGGCATCTTCTCCGGTAGGTTTATTGAGTCAATTGCTATAAGACAAAGGCTACTGTGAATCTGTGTTCTGTTTTCGTAATTAATAAAAAATGTTGAAATAATATTTTATTCGCCAAGCCAGACAAACCTACGAGCCACTTTAACTATTTTAAGCCTTCAAGATGTAGTGAAAAATGATGATTTATTATTTCACTTTTGTTTGGATACTATAGTGTAGATTTTATTTATATTAGCATTGTTATAAAACATTTTATAAATCTGTTTAACACTTATAACGCATTGCGTAAATAAAATTGTTTATTTAAAAAGAAACATTTCAGTTTTGGAGGCATGATTTGACACAAATTTTAGTTATTATTTATTTAATTTGTTGTTTTTTATTTGTTATTGTTTATTCCTTGTCTTTGTAAAATATTTTGTAAATTGCGATGTAGTGTGTACCAGGAAAACTGCATGGACTTTCTAATGGACTTTTAAATGCTGTATTGTAATTGGACACTATGCTTGTAATGTGGAGTTGTTATCTAAATAAATAAATAAATAAAATAAATAAAAAATAAAATTTAAAATAAGGATATTTTTTTATTATATTTATTCCGTATTTTTTATTGTAACTTGTTTGAAATATGTATGTTTTAGGGAATTTCCCTATAGGGAAGTAGCTATTGCCGTAGGTCTCATGGTAAGACCTAGGCCCGGGACCGATTTACTTTTTCATTTTGAGGGGTTTTATGGGGTAAAAATGTGTTTTCTCATTTTTCCCCCTTAAAACACAAAATTTATCAATTTTTCTCCAGACCTCTTTAAACAGCTTAAAAAAACAAATAATTTAGTTTATCAAAGTCTTTTTGTACGGTGATTGGTTACGGAGAAAATTAAAAAAATTGTTAATTTAAAATTCCTATGTTATTCTTATAGAGAATGTTTTTGGATATATTTCGATCAAACTTGGCGGATTTATTTATTTCATACTTAGCTATTGATATTTTAATTTAAAAAAAAAAAACTTTATTAGTTTCCCTGTTGCAGCTAACCTAGGTACTCGTTAAACATAAATGTTAATTTAATAGATTAATTGAAAATAAATCCAGGCAAATGGAAATTCGCTGAGTAGACAGGTTTGCTGCAGCGGGGGTATTTTTTTATATTTTATAGTGTGTTTTTATTAAGGGTTTTCAACATTTCCTTGAATGAAGAATTTGTTTGAAATTTAACGTTGTTTATCAACGAATAATTATGGCTCAAAATTAAGTGATATTTTTAATTTGAAATAATATGTAAGTTCTGTAAATCATTTTTCAAAGGTTTCAAACTAAAAAAGGGTTATTAGAATTTAGTTTCATGTCTTAGATAAATATATTGTTAAAAATTCAAAATATTATAAACTTAATCTTAGGTGTATTTATTAAAGATTTTTTTACTTTAAAATTCCTCAATTCCATCTAAAACAAAAATAACAATTTCTCACCCCATTTATTCGCCACACACCCTCATCACCAGGAAGCAATGAGGATGACCCTTATGTAAATATCGCCCTTGCTCGCAGCTTCATCTCTCCCACCTTATATAATCCTGTTGTCAGTCCATTGCATAATCCATTACATGTATCCACTTTCACCTTGCTACGGCTCGCAGTGTGCGGACTGCTGGTGTAGCCATGTGTCGCGGTGGTGCTTCGCCCCTCTGGGTACCCGCCCTCGCCCTCTGGGTAGTACTACTGTCAGCCCCATGGATACCCGCCGTTCACTCCGACATCTCTGTCAATGCCACCCGTGAGTTTTCTAGTTATTTGGACGATTTAGGGTGGACATAACCTAAAAACAATAAATGAGGTTAAAATAACAAATACACTGTAGGTAGTTTATAAAATATTGGAATCAACGAATCTCCTTTAGTAATTGTTTTCATAAAACAAAGGAAAATAAATTAAGGGCAAATTAAAATGCACAAGGTGTTTACTTGTATAGGATATCACAAGAATTTTATTAATCTTTAAAAATCTGTACAAATAATTATCTCCAACCATAATAAATGAAGCCTTGCGCCTAGAACAAAATATAATATTTGGGCATTAAATTCTTTGTGTATTAGGATACTAAAGACTTTTAGCCATTTTTTTTTTTGAGAAATATTTAAAATTAATCATCCAACTTTAGATTTGATTTTAATGGTAAATAAAAAACTAAATTACAATTTTCAAACATTAATGATCGTTCATTGGCATTAAAGTGACATGAAAAATATTCTTTCATGAAATGTTTTCCTAAAAATAGTTTTATTTTATTTTTTATTTTGTGTGTGTTAAGATTTTGAAATTGATGTCTACATACATTAATTTCTTATTGCTGCAAGGTAGAACCTTGCTTCAAAAGACCTACTTCTTAAAATCAGTATTTCCCCCCAAATCACCGTTAAAGTATTTAATGGTTAGTACATCATGGGATCACAGCCTTTTCAATTGAACCTTTAAAAGTTGTTTTAATTAGCAACTGCCTTCATTGATGGTATTCCAAAATAACTCAATAAAACTTAAACTTTCTTCTATATCTGAAACTAAGAAAACATACAAATTTAACTGTCAAAAGCTTTAGCATTCATTATTTATTTGACTGGAATTAAGCCATTTAAATTTCATATCAGAAAATTTTGCATATTTTTCAATACAAGTATTTTTCATACACCTTTCAAAATAAAATGTTTACAATATAGATTGAATAAACTGTTATCATCAACTACTAGTTTTGTTTTTGACGTTACTATCTATAACACTTGTATTTTGCCTGTGCTCCATCGAGCATTCAAGTAATTAATAAATATACAGTAATGTTTTGTAATATATTCAGTCATGTAAACAGTAAATTATAGTCCGATACCAGTGAATTTAAGGTTGATCTTGTAATTTGTAGTTAAATTTGTACTAGTGATACATGGTATGATGATATGATGCAAGTATCCTGTTTTTTGTTTTAGTTTTTTCATAGAGTTAAGCAGCACTATACAACAAACAATTTCTTTAATAAAAATTGTTCCGTAAGATTGTACGCTTAAAATTGTCTATTCAATTTATTGTTTTTTGTTTTATATTGATCACATTAATTTGTATCACCTAAATAAGCTTATAGAAAATTCCAATACAATCGAATGTTTTTCAAGTACATTTAAGTATTTGTCACTATTATGATTTTTATAATCGTTAAAGCTTTATGGATTTTCTTAAATAATTTTTTTTTTCTGCACATAATTGTATTTCACATATTTTTATAAACAAAGTCCTGGAAAATAACAAATACAAATACGAAAAGATTCAGTGCATGATTTTATCTCTTATGGACGCTTATAACAAAATTTATAATAGGAAAAGTGTAGGGGTGCAATGATTGAAAAATATACGTTAAAAAAGAGCTTTAAATATTATTATAGCTTAATTTGTACAATCCGGTTTCTAGGATTCGATAAATACAGCTTTATATGAAGGTCTATGCACGGGCCAAGGACAACCACTCGGCTTCTGAAGCAAGTACAGTACTGTTAATGGACAAGTATGGCTGGATATCAGATTATCTTGTAGAACTGTCCAGGAGGAACAGTTAACACATTTTTAAATTGTACTAAACAACAAAAGCCAGCACACGGTTAACAATGCCATAGAAAACGCTACTCTGTTAACTGAGGGAACTATATCGTACTATATGTTAAAAGAGACTGCAAAAACATACGAGATATCGTTGAGTTTGTGGGATTTGTATGTGTAGGTCTATTGATTTAAAAGTAATTTTAAGGCGATTTTGTTTTGCAAAATGTTACGTTATTTGTATCTTATAATTGCCCTATATATTACTTGTCTAATTGGTTGGCTATTTTTCCATATTGGACACTTTATAAGGTGATATGGAACGGTTTTTATATAGTCAAAAAGAACATACATTAATTAATTCACCAAATACAGCATCTTAAACCCACTAATTGAGCAATTTCAATGCCCTTTGATTTCCGTGAGAACCTATATATAATATTTTGTCTGTGCTTGCAATAAAAATAATCTTTAAAATTTCTTAGACAATAAGTGACATTTGTTTACTATATGTATTTAAAAAATATAAATTAAAATAATCAGCGTTTGCTAACTTAAAACAAAAGTTTCAAAAACAAATTTAATGTTGTAAACAAATTTGATATAAATGTAATCTTTTCTTGAAAATCCTCCAATAAAATTTAATAATCAGAAGAAGTATAGGACTTATTCCATCGATATAAATATAAAAGATAAATGTATACATTAACAGTACAGTACATACAACATTCACTGTATCCTCAAATTTAAAAACATAAACATAATAATTCTAAACTAAATAAAATAAAATAAAACTATGAGAAAATTTGCTAAAATACAAATATAGGGATCTAGATTTAGTGAGAATATTTCAAAACTAAAATTCATAAACACAGTCGTACCCTTATAAAACCGAGTTTAAATAGTTTTGTGGCATACAGTTAAGCTATATACTTTTAAACCATTCATCTCCAGCACTGGATTGTTTTTTATTTACGTTTAACAGTAGGCCTACCTATCAAAGTTTTGCTAAGTTAGCAGTTAGGCTACTTTAGCAACTGTAATGATCATGCCCTAAGTAATATATATCCAGTATTTTGGCCTCATAAAATAACATTATATTACCACATAGCTTCAATTCTTATTTCAACTCAACAGATACAATGCAAAAGGCGTTTTTGCAATTTTTCGAGCTGAGATGTAGAAGCGCGATGGGTCTGTAGTTAGACTCGGCGAGAGTTGTTGCCGCGGCACGTCGCGACCTCGGCCTACTCCAGCTGATCGCAACTCTTGCACTACTGACTTTAACCCAGAGTCGATTGGCAAATAATATGCGATTGGCCAACTCCTTTGTCGGCTGCCTCTCCCCCGCATCAGAGATTAAACTCTTTACATCTTGATTTCTTTCGAAATTCGGAAGGACATCGTTCATAAATTGATTTTCGAGACCCGGACTGTAACAATATAACGGACTATAACGGGATTAATTACTTTAGAAATCCGTGCATTGATGAAACAAACATTTATTGTAAACAACAACAAAAACTACTTCTTGATCGAATTGCTCTTCAGTAATGTCAATCGACAAAACTAGTCATGTTGATCAAATGATTAAAATGGTATAAACAGTTTATCACTTGTTATTCCATTTTAATCATTTAATCAACATGACGAGTTTTTACTACCGGCATTGTGATTTTCACAGTGTTTTAATTAATCTAAAGGACATACCACAATGTATTAATACATTGTTGATGTGGTTTCATACAATGACCTGACAAAGTTCCAAGGAACGAAACTAGCTCTCATACCAGAAACTGTGGTTGGATAAGGTAATCCTTTTATTTAATCAATAAGAAAACTAGTCAAATTTAACAATAATTATGTAAGCCTTTTTTTCTACAACTAAACATTGCTTTTCGTTATGAAACAGGTTCGTTATTTTTTTGTTAAACGCGGAAATTAGGAACCGCCCTAGTTACGCGCCAAAACGATGCAACACCCGCCATAATGAGCCGAGGCGGGATTTCCGCGCAAAAAGTTGTTTGCGGACATGCTTTGGTGACCCACAGAGCCGAAGGTGTTTGCTGATGTGTTAGAGGACATTAACACTTTCGATGTGTGGGTATGGGATCTTCGTGTTGAGAAACAAATTTTAAACACGGGTGAAAATGGAGTTAACAATTAAGATAATCCAACGGGATTACTTGTGTGTCTACAATAATGTTTACTTACAAAGAGTATTCGAATCAACCTAGTGACCAAACCAATAATAATTTGTATTTAATAATTTGTCGTAGTAAAGGGTTCAAAATGACTGAGATTGTTTTTCTTAATAATTCCTAAATATTTAATAATTATTTTATTAGTATTACTCATACACCTGCATTGATACTCTAAATAAAGTATAAGAGATAGCGAACAAATGGTGCATTCAAAATCAATTCTAAACAATACAAATGTTTACAAAATATATAGAGGTGTTATTATCTTTTTCATTATTATATTTTATGTAATATTATAATATTAGTAAGATACATAAAATATAATAATGAAAAAGTTAATTAATGAAAAAGTTTTGCAAAACTGTGTTTCATAACATATCTACAAGTTGTGGATAATTTTTTGTGCTTTTGTAAGTTTTATATCATCCGAGGAATCAGCAGACAAACTAAACTTCCACTGCGTCTTTGGATTGCTGAATATTTTAGCAACCTTTACTAATTATTATTGCAAAATAGACATAATTAAAAAAACATCCTTGACAAAAACGTGTATTCAATCTTAAATTGCAAAGAGGCTATAGGATATAGGTTTTGGGGTTTTAAATCAATTACCGCAGTACCTTATCACGTTTGCTTTTTCAGGGAGGGTATTTGTTATAAGTGCTTAGTGAACTAAACAACATCCCAAAAATTGCCCCACAAATAACTTGATATAGGCTTACTCGACAAAAACTAGAAAGAATAGTTGTTGATAATTTATTTTTGAATTTTTAAAAAATTACCTCTATATTCATTCTATAGGTAAGTATTAAAAAACACAGAATATTTAAACTAACTCTTGTTTTTTTTTTACATTTGCCAACCCCCACGACAATAATAATTGGTGTAGGCCTACATATAACTTCGAGAGGGAGAGTATATAATTTAGAAACTTAGGGAACTGATTGTTGGTGCTGATGATTTGTCTGATTTAAAATCGGACCAACAGGAAATAAAT